AAATAAAAATATGATATATACTCTTTAGTATACATCCATTGGACAACGTCTCGAAATCGAAGGTTTATTTTCAATCTTATAGGTACTATATCAACCATCACCAGCCCGTCTGATGCACATGCAACGACTAGTATAGTAGGTACCTATGAGATATCGAAAATAGTGGCGAGCATGGGATTTTTAAAATGGCCGGATTTCGTCTAACGATAATGAAGTATGATCGATTTTATCGTCATCACGCAATAATAATACTGTTGTATTATAAGATGTCGGTACGATTATTACGTCTTATAAACATTTCGAATTCGTTTCAGTGGTGTGCAGTGTATAGATTATTTTTGACATGAGTATCACCCTAAATCGTTTTCGAATAATTTAAATTTCATCATTGAATGCCAGTTAATAAGTTCTCGAACAATCGAAATAAAAATTATACGTTCACGGTAATAAAGTCTACTTTATCACGACGCACTGCACTTTTCGTTTTATGACAATTTCGATTTTTATAGATAGAAAATAAGTCATTTGCAGAATTATCTTTATATATACCAGCGAATACTCTGCACGCCTTTATCTCGATATATATTGTTATAAATTATTATAATATTATTACTGTGATTTGTGTGTCGCTTCGTATAACAGTTATCGTGTAAATTTCAATTTTTTCTACTTCCTAATCATGCATAATAGCATAACGGGCGTACCGTTTTTTCGCGTCAGGTTTTCGACTGATGAATATTATTCACTAAAGTTAAGAGGATATGTGATCGATAAGTTAAAAGTTAATTTAGAAAATAATATTCCCTAATTTTTAACGTAACGGTTCTTCCCCCTCAAATTGGTACAACTAWTCAATATTTTCGCGCTGATAATCCAATAAATATAATTAAAGTAATACAAATAATCAGTCGACTAAAATATTATACCTCTAAAAGGGTCGTGACCTTCGCTTTCCGCTCGACATCCGCTGAACAGAACAGTTATCTGAAAAATATAATGTAATATTTGAATAAGTGTGGAGGTTATCATAATCTACACGATTCCGAATATATATATATATATATTTAATTTATATTAATTTACTGCATTTTGTTATGCAGCTGTTTACACAATGTATACCTAATATATTATATTATGATGACCATCATTGCCTTCTCATATTTTTACCAGTCCACCAGAAAAGTTGGTCCACTAACTAATGCGGCGTATGGAAAAATAATAATATGTCATTCGAATCGCTAAATCTTATTATTATTTCTCACCTCCGTTCTTAATTATTTCTGTTAATAACAGCGCGATCTGACACGCTCGGGGGTTTTACGGGCTGAAAGTTTTTTCATTATTTCAATATTTATCCTGCGTCGCCGGTATTTGTGAAAAGTCACTGTGGTCTAGACGCGGCGGCAGACCTTCGGCCATTGGTATAATTTACACGTTGCTAGTTTTCGTTTTTTCGAAAGTATAGTGGAAAAATGTACTGCGGAAACACGCGCGCCGGGTGACAACTTGTTTGAAACGGTTATGGTTATTTTACTTCAAATTTATGTGTCGCTGTGAAACGAAAGTGTGCGTACTTATTGCACGTCGCTGCATTAGGTAGAATATTATTATGTGATCCTATATATAATAATAATAATAATAACAACGAATCTAGACCGAAGGAAATTGGATTTCCGTCGATATATTTATTATTTCCRGTGCTTACCGCTTACCATTTTCTTGGGTGAAAGAATAACGATCATGCAATTAAATAAAATGTATACGCTTTATTATATTGTCTGTTATAGCTATTTCTTTTTACCGTGTTTAATCGAATGAAACCTTTGAATGACTTTTAGGAGTTTTCAGAAACAGAGCTTTATGACAATTTAARATGTTATTTTTTATTTATATTATGTTATGTCACTGGTGACTGATTCATTAAAAAAAAAAACCAAGTAAGTGGCGATGATGTATGATGTCATTTTAACATTTATATTTTATATTGTAGTTTTTACTGTGTACGTATATTATAATATAGTTATATAGTTATCTGCTTGAAACTTATGACTATCTTATGTACTGTAATTTACTGACCTTACACAGTTACCATGGTAAAGTATATCGTCTATGTTATTGTTATTATTATTATTATTATTATTGTGACAATCGCATCATTCTCGCCGACAAAAAACCCGTTTTTTCCGTTGAATTGACTATTATTCATAAACCAAAAACGTGAGAGCTGAAAGCTTAAGTTATAATTTATATTATCATATATCTGTATATCTAGGTAGTTAACATGAACGAAAATCGGTTAAAAATAGTGGTTTACGGTGTGTGTATACGTAATGTAATATTATGTATCATGTGATATATTCGTACCCCGTCACAACCCTAATTGAATTTCATTAACSGCAAAGGATAACATATATATATATAATTTTTTTTTATGGTGTTTTCAACCTACCTGTGGACTGTGAAAGTGTTGCTGCTATTAAACGCTCATGATACCTAGGTATAACCTACCTCACACACACACGAAATCACAACTCTCGATGTGCAGTAACGGGGTATGTATGGGTGTATTATATATGTACGTTTTTGATTTCCGTCCGTGTCGATACGACTGCTTACACACGGTAGGYAGGTATGACAAGAGATTAAGATTATATTATTATAAGTTATAACATGTACAACGACAATACAATAATATACATTTTCAACGCATAAAACTCGTTTATCGAAATATTCTACTTGTGTTTTTATTATTCCAGTCATTTGTGGTGTTTGTACGTTTCAACGACCTGTACGCATGGTCTACATATTATACATATATATATATATATATATATATATATATATTATAGTACTTATAGCATATATTATGTGTATTTCGGTGATTTGATCGCGGCGTATAATTTAATACAAAAATAATATTATATATGCGAATCTGGTACGAGTGTTATACAATCAAATATCTCATAATACCGAATGTACTATAATAAAATTCGAGTGCTATAAACTTACAAAAGTGAATAAATAGAGRTAGGTAAATAATGAAGATAAACGATAAAGTTGTTTTGAGTCATAATTTAAAAATTAGGTAGTATGTAAATAATAAATTATAGGCCGTATAGCTATATAAACAAAATATATATACATATTTTTTAGATTCTGAACGGAGTGATGAATGTATTGATTTTACAATGATGTGAGTGTTTTTTTTTTTTTTAAATTGATCAAATCGCCTCAACATGAATGGTTATTAGCGTAGTATGTTTACATTTTTTGATTACATTGTTGTTCATTTCTGCTTGAGGTTCTAGGATTTCGAAGAAGTATTCTGTTAAATTACTATTTATTATACGTACCTATATATGTATTATGTTACGTATATTATCAAATATTGTGAATATTGCAGGTTTGGGCTGAAAGAAAAATGTGTTTCGATAGTGAAATATCGGCAGGATAGCTAAAATGTTATCGAATATTTTATTTACATATGTAATTCTTCTAACACTCGATTTTTATACATTCAGTATTATAATAAGACATTTGATTGTAACAGTATATAACTCTCTACACCGGCGTGACGGTGTCATAACATTCGCTTCAACACCATAACACACAGTGGATATATATATATATATATATATTAAATATATATCAATATATTTGCCCCAATAGCTCAAATTTTTTTGGTAAAGAGTCAACAGTTTATATATTTTTTTTAGACGTCTGATAACTCGATTTGTGAGTGTTGATTACGCGTTTGCCGAAATATATATGAAATATATAAGGCTCTCGTTAAGGGTATTTGGAAAAAATAAAGCCGTACCCGTTATACGCCGTAAGTTCGACGTCGCCATATACTATACATACGCGCACAGTGCACACATAATGAWTTCTTTATAAACCCTATATATCTACCATTGTACCAATCAAATAAACCGTGAAATTGTTGGATTTGTCAGTTTCCGACGACGACGACGACGACGACGACGACGGTTTGGCCGATATACGGACGAGCGAAGTTGTTGGATCGTTTGACACAATATTTAGGTTAGGGTCGACGTTTCGCCTCTTTATAAATATTATAATACTCGAACTCTATCTGACTCTCTCTCTTTTTCTCTTTTCAGCGTGTATAATAAATTATTATATACATAAGATCTATTCATTAATAATAATATACGTATCACGAAGATGAAATATAGCCAACGATGGGTTGAACGTCCGTAGCCGTTAATTGGGGCCACTCGATTTGGGTCTTCGCACGTCGTGTTTACATCTCGATATAATAAACAGCTTCGATTGTACCATTTTTTATTCGTGCTTCGAACAAGTACACATAATATTATTTTAATCCGTCGCCGTCGGAGGCTTATTAAAAATATACCTTAATTATTATACACGGTGCAGCGTGAAATGGGTTATGATCATGTATATATAATAGGTACAAAAGTATAGACATTCGTTTTATTGCTTTATATATAGCTACTGACACGCCTATCTCCGACTCGGCTAAACGATATATGTATAATATTATTATAATATACTATGTAATAATATGCATAAAACGCGCGAGCATAAACTTGGAAAATATCAATGAAATAATAAATTATTAGCTCTCGATTTATTATGAGCCACGGATACGAGTGGTTATCGTTAAGAAAAAAAAATTAAAATATCATATTATGCAGGTACTTTCAGTTATACTCACCGTCTACTATATATGTTATATAGGTATATCTTGTACGATAAAATGTGTTTGTATATTATAATGTATGGCGGAAGATAGAAAAAAAAATCGTATTTATTAATGGTAACGTAAACGTATTGTACGCTCACTGCAGTGGGTCGAATGCGCGTGCGTGTGTGCGTCGTCATCGTATGAGTTGTGTATGAGTGTACGTTGCGCGCGTGTGGGAAGTCGTCCTGGCCCACTGGTTCTCTCAATGAACTTTATTGACGGCGGCGACGGCGAYGGCTCGGCCATTCGTGTCGGGTACGCGTCAATGAACGCGTCGTAGTCACAGTCGTCGTCGTCGTCTTCGCAGTCGGTGTGGTTTTTCATTTTGCTGCGCTTAGTGTGTACCTATAATATTTTTACGATTTTCGACGAAGACTTAAAAATAAAAACAGTGCCTGTACAATTAGAGTTATTTCTGTTCGCCGCGTTCGACATGATAACCAAGAGCGGAGTAGGTGGAGGAATAGTACGTCGCCCGCTGAAGAGCGGCAGCAGAGCAGGCCATCCGAGGCCAGTCAGCGGATTAAGTTTCAGCGTGCTGGGTACGTCATCCTCGTCGGTATACAATATTTTCAATATGTTACATATTTTGGATGATATTATGACCTTAAAATCTAAAAAAAATTCATGTAAATATGATAAAAAAATGTCAAAACAATCAAATGCATTGAGCAAATGTATACTTATCCTGGCGCCTGCTTTTATTATTTTACTTTTGATTGAATTTAAAAAAAAAAAACCAATTTTAAGTTATAGTCATTAGTAGGTTATTACTATATATAATATATTATATACACATCTATCCGCCTGAGTGCTTTGGGTTTAACTTTGGAGGTAATAATACCTATATTTTATGTATTACTGCCGAAATTTTTACCTTGACCGGGGTAGACTTCGCTATCGCTGCACCGTGGGGAAAAACGATGTATATAATTTGATATTTTTTTTCGCATTGATTTGATTGCATGTTGTCATAACTACGTCCGTAGCATAACCGTTACGGCGTCGTACAATACGGTAGGTAATATTAAAGTATTTCAACGATATTATAGGTAGGTCTTGGTGTACAATGTTATCATATCCTCGATCCCTCAGCTCTTTGGCATTATATATATATATATAATATCATATCAAGACGGGGCGCGGTTGTAGGTGGAGAATATTTTTTCGTAAAGGAAATTTGTATATTATATTTAGACAATATCACACCGGTGAAACGTATACTCGTATATAATGTTGTATTTATTATTTATGTATATATATATACGTGTGTGTGCGCGCGAAACTAGTTCTCGTCACTACCAGACGAGAGCATCATCCGCCGCGCCGGTCGAAATCGTTCATTCCGCAGTCACACCGCGTAGTGCCACATTGTATTATATTTACAGACGACCACCATATTATAATATTATATGTATATCTATTAATTCCGTGTTCGGTAATGTATAATAGGCTATATATAGATGTACTCGTTACTCTAACGACTTCACTATACACTGTAATGCAACGCCGTAGAGATTTGAGTATTATTTTTTTTCACACTTATTTTTCCTAACGCGTTATTTTAATGTTACACTAGGAATCATAAACCATAATAATGCTTGTAATACGTCATATTTAGTTTTTAATTCTAACATTCATCGGGAAAATGATAAAAATCTAACTTTATAGATATTTTCAGTCCTTATATCAGTTAATAAAATTGTATGCCGAGCATTTTGCTATATTTTCCCTATAYTTCATAGGTGTTACATTTTTTGAAACTTTTAAGTCCGTATTCGATTAAAATACTGTTTTCCAAAAATTTTATGATTAATAAATTCAGTATTAACAACATMATATTATGTAACGGAGAACAAATCCCGATAATTTTTTTACTTTGTAACGGTTTACTAATTTCGACAAGTCAAGTGTGCGTATATATAATATTTTGTAGRTACCTATATAGACTATAATATAATATTATTTTAATATACTTCGCAATGGCGTTTGTCCGTCTAAACCGATCGACCCGTACATCGTCCCTAAATCCCTTGAAATGTACCATATCATAATGTTAAATTGTTATAATATTTTGATTTCGAATTTCGTTTCTGTTTTTCTGCAGGTCTGCGTATACGCTGCAAGTATAAACATATTATATGTGAGCTAGGTTGCAGTATAGCCGCAATGTATATATTATATGTGCGTGCGATGTGTTATATTGTGTATATTATATATACATGTTTATATCTGCGGTCGTGTCTTAAGTAATTGCTGAAACGCCTCTGGGGCAGTTTGAAATTTTGAATCTGTTTTTTATTGCTGCGCGTCCCGAAAACGATTTATGACTGTACGCGAGAAGACGACAGACCATATGTGACGACGCCGCCGCCGCCGCTCCCACATCGCGCGACGTTACTCATACCACGGTCCCGGTATCTAAATGTCTATGTAGGCAGAATTGCGTGTGTATATATACGATTGCTTTTTTTACGAGTACTCATCTCCGTATCTCCTCCCACCCTTTCTGCTGTATAGCAAGTACGCAAGTCGCAGCCAAACGATTTCAGTTTTCGTTATGTTTATTATATACGTGTTGAATCAATCGTTTTTCGTGCGATTGATTTTTTTTTATAAGTTTAATAAAAAAAGGCGAAGGGAATAAAAAAAACAACCCACTTCCGATAAACGCAGCCGTTGTTGTTCGTTCCGGGGCTGCGGATTATACGAGTGGTAAAGGCGCGTGGGAAACCGTCTACGACTGTGGGAACGATTATACGTCGGTGTGAGAGTGAGCGGGCGGGCGTCCTTATGGCTGCAATAGGTATATATATATATTTAATATGCAATACGCAACCTTATACATTACGTGGCTTCGTCAGTAAGTGGTTGTGGTAGTTCGGTAAAATGCGAAATAGCTAAAGCCGGGTTTCTACAACAATGTATCACATCTTATTATGGAGTTTAAAGTATTTAACTCATAGGTAACGTGTGTTACCGACATTTTGTTACCAAAATATTAAATATAGATACGGAACATCGTATGATATACTGTACGTTGAAGTGAAGACCAGGTTTAAACCATAAACCTATAATAAACGTTATAGGTCTATATGGTTTAAACATTCGGCCCTTTACATGATGCGGACATAACCGTGGTAACGATACCAATAATATTATACCAACCGTGCAGGCTGCCGTCGCGCTGCAATGATAATGTTATAAGTTTAAGATATTAACACATGAACAAATTTTGGTGATAACCGTTCAGTGGCGGTCGTGACGATATATCATTTTATTTTGGGGAGGGGAGTAGAGAAATGGGTATCGTCGGACTAGCGCCAGACAATCGGACGGGACGAAGATTTTCTTACGCCCACGCGACCTGGTCAAAAGCGGTGTAAGTAAATAATAAATATATAGAATATAAAAACCGGATTTGAGCGGTTGTTTTAAACTCACCCGTCACCTTACCACGGTTGTTATAGTGAACTTCTTTACAGTATGTTTGTTGTTKTTGTTGTTTTCACCTGCTGCGGCTGATAATGATGCATTTGGACAGTCACGCGTAAAGACTATACGGCTATCGAGTTAGAAAAATATTATAATAACGGCGTCATCGTGTGGAATCACTCGGTGTTATATTTCACACTGGTATGCTGATATGCGAGTGTGAAAACTATTTATTCGTTCCGGTGACGTGTGCTTTCTAAAACAATAATAATAACTATATAGGTATAGTAATAAATAATTATATCCGTTACAAAAAAATAAAATAAATAATAATAATAATAATAATAATAATAGTGACCAGGTCATTGGAGGGTAGTTTTCGTGAAGGTGCTCGACGAGGAACAAAAGTTGCCTTGAAATCGCCACCTTATAGTCTGTAAACATAAAGCACATATTGATATTAATATACTGTAAATAAGCGTGTCGTGTTGTTAAATCATATCATATATGATAACGGTTTGGTTTTTTGTTTTTCAGATTTGGCTGCCATACGGAAGCTGTTGGAAGAAGGCGATGGCGACGAGACGTGCCCCAGCTGTGGCATGCCTTTTGACAAAGGCAAAAAAAGAAAGCTCATCGACTCTTGCGGACACGAACGTTGTTACGCGTGCATGTTCCGCAACGAAGGTTGTCCGCTGTGCGCCGCGGTGGCGACCGCCGACGACAGCCCGACAAGAGGTATATTTACTGTACTTTTTCTTAAATATATATTATTATTATGATKGATTTTCGTCTGTATTATACGTCGAATTTGTATAACACTGCAGCTGCACGACGTGTTTCTCATAGTCGCGGTGCAGTAATAAAACTGCGATGGGTATAACGACTTAATTAAGTTGTGTTCGAATTTAATAATTTAAACTTTTTTTTTAAAGTTCTATCGACTCAAATGCATTCATATAATTCACTTTTTCCGAAGTTGATTTATTATTGTTTATTATTGGTTAAGTCGTTAGCATCGCCGTTACCAAAATACTTTTTATACTTTTACGGACATATTGCAGGCAGTTTTTTTTCTTTTGTAATAAACATTTCTATTCATCATTAATTAAACGACGACTTTCATCGGATATTTACTAATTTATTTCTTCATATATTATTCCTCTACGTTTGGAAATAGGATTGCAACTTTCGATTCTAMAAATATCGACTAAATTTAAGAAAGACTGTATTTAATAAAGTTTATCTACTTTAGAAGTTCAAAGAATATAAAAAACAACAACCGGCAATAACTGTTCAAAGTGTATACACCGGATGCTTCAAACTACTCGTCGGGGAAACCGTTTAAATGAAATCAGGGTTTAGGAATTTTATAATTTCGTAAAGTACTTTGTTTTTTTTTTTCGAAAAAATTATTCAATATTAAATGCTTACCAAGCAAACTCTGATAAAACTAAAAAATTAATAATAACATTATTCAATCGATTGTATTAAATTAAATTTTGTAAATGAAATAGAATATTATGATATATTACATGTTAATAACTGTATATTATAATAATATTAAAATAATAACTTCCTCGGTAAACATTTTCTTTACAAAACATTCTTTTTTATCCTCTCGACCACACCAAATCACAACTTCGTGTTTATCGTATGCTAATTTATTTTCTCTTCAAATAGCAAAAATAAATAAAATAAAACGTTTATATTGTGATAAATGCTGTAATAAGTATATTTGTATGTATAGGCACGAAAAGAGATAATGTATTATAAATATATTTTTTTTCGATTATTTATAAATTGTTATGGCTGTTATTAGTAGATAGGTAGTATAGTAAAAGAAAAAGTTGGGAACTCATGATTACTTTAATAACACACTTTTAAAACTTTCACGGCGAACAAAGTTTTGGTAAAATTTTGTTTTAACAGCATAAAATACAAAGGTTTAAAAATATTTCTTCGACCAATTTTGTTGAAATACTCTGAAAAATAATTATAATTGAAAATTAAAAAGTTTCATTTCAAAGAGGTCCTACAAAGGCTAGAAGAAGTTTTTAATTATGTATAGTGCATAGATGTTCGCGTTGTTATATTATATATACATTTGAACATATATATATAATATATATATATTAWAAATTGTTATATGATAAGTATCATATTATTATGTAGGTGCATTATAATTTATCGTTTAAAAAAATTAACACATACAGATGGGTGACGTGGTAAATAACTATTTATATACAATTCATAGGTACATWACATTATACCTAGAAGTTTGTTAGAATCGTTTTTGTTACCGCCTGTATATTATGTATTTTGTCATACAAAAATCATAAAGTATAATGCATAACACCTATAGTAGTATTAGTTTTTTAAATTATCAGTTGATGAAAGGCAAATCATGGTAGTTAAGTTCTTATTCGACACCGCTACTGTCGCGTTTCCCACGATATTCGGTAAAGCTATACGCATATACCTATATATACATATGCGCCACGCGACGTCGTTATCGTCTCTAATTGTCAGAAGTCAAAAACAAAAAAATAGACGATGAACCAAAATGAAATAAATATATTTTTAATTGAAGTCGTAAAAATTACGTTGGAATTGCGTAGGTTAATATGTTTTTCCCGCGTGTTAGTCATGGTGTCATGGTTGATTGACGTGTAGGTATATTATATTATTATATACATCTCTGTCACAATGGCTATATCAATTATACAGTCTTGATGAAAGTTTCCCGTGCGTGTAGAATACTGAATTATATTTGTTTCCTTTTTCTGTACAGCTTCCAAGAAATCATTGACCGATGAGCCTATATATGTGCAAAACACACGAACTAACAGACCAAGAGTCAAGACTAACGGACACTTTTCACCCTACGTCCAGGTAATTCCATCCACTCAACCATTCTATTTCAATAATAATTGCAATAATATTATATGTGTGTATACCTATACAGTTACTTACTAATGTTTGTTAATTTCGTATATTTTAGTCAAGACAAGGTTCACAAGAACTCAGTCATTCGCCTAGTAGGCTTCCAAGACCCAACCGGAACTTGGACGAAGTCATGACTCAGAGTGAGTTCGCTAGAAAAAAAAATGATGAAAACGATTTTGGTATCAATGAATAATTTTTCTCCGTTGTTTTTGTCAATTAGGCTGYCCAACTCCTCCGCAGAGTAGAAGAAAATTTTTTCTCAGTCCAAAAACCATACGAAATCAATGGTCCATGCGAAGTGGATCCAGGTCGCCCTCAGACAACGCACTCTCCGGTAAGGGTTTTTTTTTAAACGGATCTTCATAATAATTTAATATTATAAGCTATGTATTCACTTAATATAACACGGTTTGTATTAAATGCATTGCTATGAAATTCAGAAATGTCAGCATCGACATCGACAGTAACTACTACGGATCAGCGGCGATGGTCTTCAGTGGTGTTGGGCAAGATTAGATCTCTATGGTCGTTGAGAGGTTTGTTAGGTTCTAAAAATGAAACGTTTTTGTTTGTCGTTGGCCGTGTGTGCACTTAAGCTTATTAGAAAACACTTTATTAACATTATGTCACCGTAGTTAAACCGTTGAATGTGCTCTGCAATTGAGTGTTAACCTAAATGTTTTGTTCTATAACAAGGTCAAATCAATAAATTTGATTTAATTACTGTATATTAACTATGTTACATACAAATTCTAGTCGTCACATTTCTYTTATACTGTCAGAATTTCGTATACGCGTATTCTTTGATAAAACAAATAACGTGAAGGAAATCTTCTATTATATTCACGATTTATTTGGTTCACGGAGATGTTTAGTTCGATGTAAATAGTCAGCTGAGTTTGGTTTCACTCATTTTATTAGTGAAATGTTTTTTGGAATCAAATCAGATGATTAAAATCAATACACTATTTATAACTAATTATGTCTGTAAAATTATTGGGAATTCAGAAGCAAGTATATAAAACTGCAGTGAGGAGGAGGAAGGAAATAATTTATGAGTGTATGTGTATAAAAGTCTCAAATTTGAAAAGCACCTTATTTTTGTTTTGTGTTCATTTTTGTTTGTTTTTATCTTTGTAAAATTGCATGGACACGGACATTAGCTTTGTGCACCTATTTGTAATAACTCAATTCTGTTTTTATTGTAAATTTTATCTATTCAAATAACAATTATTTAACTAATTTTTGTATACATCAGACGATGAAGGCGGAAACGTGAAACCGCGAGGATCGTTGAACCAAAGAAGTTGCAATTCAGACACTCTATACACAAGACTGGGACTGCTGTTGTCGAGAGACAGCAATTCCAGATCATTTACGGAGGATGTGTCTTTGTCGAGCATCAACTCTAAGCCGGTGTCGAGTAATGGGAGCCCCGTGTCCACGCTCACGGGGTCCTCTGAGACCGAACACAAAGCAATTAAAGAACAATCGTCCGACAGCATCGGATCTCTCATGTCCATGTCTGGACAGAGCAACGGTTCGTGTAGCCCCTTGACCCGAAGACATTCTGTCACGAGTGAGTTGAATTTTAAAATGCAATAAAAACGCTTATATTGATTAAAATTTAATTACTAAACACTATTTACTTCTACAGGGTTCAGATTTTAAGGCAATAATATTTATACGGGAAAAATCAAAATCGTAATGAAATAAAATACGTTTCAGTTTCTCACCTACCTAATAACAAAAAAATATATAAAAACCCGTATAATTTCGTATCTGAACCCACTATTTTTGCTAATATAATTACATAAATATAATTTATCGGATGGCGTTTTTTTCAACGTTCGATCTAGTTTTGAATAACACTAAGTCTATACAGGGTGTCCCACAGAGATCTGGCATTCTGACAAATTAAATAACTTTTGTTCTAATCAATATTTTTAAAAAATTTCTTTTAAATATAATTCATAGACACTTGCGCTACATTTTTTATTTTTCTAACACTGAAAATAAAAAACTTAAAAATTGATAAATTTTTTTTCAAAATATACAATATAACCAATTTGTAAATTTGATTTTCAGAAAAATGTTTATGGTAAAAACACTTTTTTAAGTCAAAAGTCTGATTTTTTAAAAATTTTTAAATTTCAATAATATTTTCGTTAGGTACATTATAGTAATTTATAGTTTATACATCACATATTATTAAAATAAATACAATAAAAAAATAATTAGATTTTAACATGCACTTATTTAAGAATGTTCTTATAAAATATTTTTTTAAAACTTTATTATTATTTGAAATTACAAGGTTTCTAACATAAACTAGATCGTAATAATTTACTTAACGAAAATATTGATATTTAAAAATTTTTTTAAAAATCAGCCATTTAACTTAAATAAGTGTTTTTACCATACTCGTATACCTACATTTTTCTAAAAATCAGATTTACAAATTGGCTATATTGAATATTTCGAAAACATTTTTTATCAATTTTTAAGTTTTTTATTTTCAGTATTAAAAAATAAAAATAAAAAATGTATTCAAAAAATGTAGCGCAGTGTCTATGGATTATATTTAAAAGAAATTTTTAAAAAATATTGATTAGAACAAAAGTTATTTCATTTGTCAGAATGGCAGATCTCTTTGGGACACCCTGTATATGTAATATGTATATATATTATGTACTCACCTCGCTTCGGCTTTTGTTCTAACCACGATTTTATATTGTGCGTGTGCGTGATTGTTTGTGTTTGTCCTGTAGCATTACAAGCGGGCTCTGTWGACGATTTACGTTCATTTAGAACGAGGCGGCAGCCGACCAGGAGGTCTGCTAGATCCGGTACGATTAAGGGACCCATCGATCCCAAAGGTATGGTGTTTAATGTTTGGCGGTTTTTTTTTACTTTAAAAAAAATTTTAAATTTAAATTATTAAATTATTTCAAATTTTAATTTCAATTTTAATTTTTCGCTTTTAAAATTGTCCACGACGTCAAATAATGGTTTACCATTTTTATTTTTTCCCGAGCAGTGCGATTCGCCCAGTACAGAACATCTCCACAACAACAACAGCTCCAGCTTCAGCAGCAGCAGCAACAACAACAACAACTTCTCGTACTGAAACCTTTGTTCTTCGAGGTGCCTCAACAAGAATCAGACCCGTTATTTCTTGGTCGCGAGTGGTTGGTCCAGGAAATTAGTAGAACGATTCTGCATGCCCAATCGCCCGGTGTCGCGGTGACTGGGCTGCCGGGTACAGGAAAGACAGCGTTCGTCTTGCAACTCGTCGAGCACAGCTGTTTCGGCCGTATTCAATCGAATCGTAAGTGCAGTTTTAGACAATTGTCACGTTGTGGAGTTTGCATTACCTACTCTTAGTTTCACGTTTCGTTGTTTCCTGCAGTGTCTGACGTGAAAGTGCCTCAGACTTCGGTGGTTTCTGAAGACGTAAAGTCCCTGGCATCGCGTGTGGTCGCTTACCACTTCTGCCAAGCCGACAACAACAGCACGTGTCTGATACCTGAATTCGTACACTCGCTTGCAGCCCAACTATGCCAAGCACCCCAGCTAAATATGTACCGACAACACGTGCTGACAGAACTCAACCTCCAGGTAAGAAAATAAAACAAATCATACAACAAAAATCGAACCGATTCATGGCTGGATGTTTTTCTAGATTTAAAGTTGGATAATAGATCTGAAATTTTAAAATGGAAAACGTTACATTAATGATGTGTTTACAAGTATAAAATTGTTTTTAGTCAATT